TAGCAGGGGCGGCCGGCGGGTCCCGCTCCGGTCCCCGCTCCGAACACAAAGGGAATCCTCCCTCCCTGCCCCCATCCCGCGCGTCGCCTCCTGCTTCTCATTAGCCCCAAGTCGCCCCGTCCCGCTCGGCTGCCGGGTTCCTCAGAGGTGCAGGGGACTTTGGCGAGCGGGGACGCCCGTGTCCCGCTGCTCACGGTGCTGCACGAGCAGCCCCAAGGGATGCCCAGCTCGATGCCCCCCTTCCCAGATTTGCAGCAGGTGGATGCCGGTAATGACAGAGTGTCCGGCGGGGCTGGAGCCCATCCTGGGGGTCTGGGCACTGTCCCCTCGTTGCCCAGGGCTCACCCGTCCCTCCTGGGAGCATCAGCGCCGCTAACGTGTGAGTTACCGGGCAGTGACCTGGTGCTTCCCGGCGCGTCTGCCCGGGTGTGTGGGATGTTTCGCCGGGAGAGGTTGCTGTGAGCTCCCGCCGGCGCCGGTGTCACCACCAGCGAGCCCACAGGTCCCCGCGGGCAGCGGGGGACACCCCGGCCTCGAGGCTCCTCTGTGCCCGGAGCCACTTGGCCCTGTCGAGTGCGGGCTTGAAAATCAGGAGCGTGGGCAAGGACATGGGGAAAGCCCAGGGAACCTCCAGCCCGGGGACAGACCCTCTTTTCTGAGGGTAAAGCCACCCAGGGAATGGCGGGAAGAGGCCCTGGGATGCAGGAGCTGCCTTCCCCGCTTTTCCAAGCCCCTGGAGACGGTGCAAAAATGGGAGGTTCTGTGTGGTCATCCGGTCCCTGCTGCTGCCCTATGGGATGGCAGGATTGTGGCCGGGATCGAGCTGACCTTCTCCCACTCTCCTGCCTGGGATGATTCAAAGCGGCCACGTTTTGTCCAGGCTCGTCCCCTGGGAGCATCCTCCTGTGCAGGCAGCGTAGGGCTGCTCCAGGGCTCATTCCCCGGACCCGGAGCATCCTCCTGTGCACAGCAGCTCCCAGATTGTAGGAGCCACTGGGCACCCGGGCCCTTGTGCCCTCCGGGCCGGAGCGGGCTGAGCCGCTTCCCGAGCAGCTGCCGGCGGCGGCGGTCGCTTTATCCTCACTTCTCCCAGCGAGAGCTCGCGCGTTTAGGCAGGAAAGTCTTACGCTTGCAGCAAGCATTTCAAGACTCTCATAAACACATTTTTGGGTCAGCATTAATGAATTACCTCAATGCGGAGCCGCTCATGCCAAATACGTGAACGCGGAG